TCCTAATGAGCTTTGACCTTCTCAGGAACAAAACAAAACAAAACAAAAGGTTGAAATCAACCTTTAGGTTGAATCTAACCAGGTAAAGGGGAGGCCAGACTTGGTGAGGAGAGCGTGAAGAAACATGTCCACTCTTCTAGGTGAGGAATCAGACGGCATAGAGGCAAAGCGCAGACATCTGAAAATGGGGATATTGATAGTTTCTTTCTCAAGTGATTGCTCTAAGAATATAAAGGAATAATCCATGTAAAGAGCCTGATACATAGGAAGCACTCAGTAAACAGTAGCTACTTATATTAAAGGCTCAGATGAGTGGGCCTGTAATCTTACAGATGTTACTGATTAGGACCAGTTCAAAGGAAGGGGCAGCACCTATTTATATTTAAAAATAAGCCAATTTAAAGAAAAATATTAAGTCAATAATAGTGCAAGTGGTGGACAGCTAAGGCAAAATTCATGAAGCTGTTATGTGGACAACTGAAGTCTGGGAAACGGAGCTGAAAAGGAACTATATTGAATGGTAACTGGACTAGGTTCCTTCTAGCGCTAAAGGTTTATGACTTTGAGACCATTTTTCATGTTAATACCATTTGCTATCCCATACTTTGTCCAGGCACTGGGCTCAGTACCTTGCCTCCTTATCACAATTGATCCATGCAATATCTCTGAAAAGTAGATAGACTATCATCAGCTTCTTTTCCTTATTGCAGATGAAGAAATCAGAGACTCATAGACGATACCTCATTTGCCTAGGATTACAACTAGTATGGGAAGGAACCAGCCTTGAAACTGTTAGGGAGAGCCTCAGTTTACAAATTATGGTCTGTGTCTACAGTGTGGGATAACTGAGGAATTTTCTAGTTTAGTCTAATCAAGGGCTCATATTTAGATATTGCTGTTACACATGGATTTTCCCCGATAGGATTCTGTTGTTTTATAAACTACTACTTAGGTCAAAATTAGCTGACTCTTTAAACCAGCCATGGGACTGGCTGACCTGAGGGCCAAGTGCCTTCAAGGCAGATTTTCAATTAGCAGAGGAAGACATGGTGCTGTCAAGGCTTGACATCCAGACCAAGAGCCCCTTTCTGCTCTGGGTTATTTCTCAGGGAAGGTTGTTGGGAGATGGGCACATTCTACCAGCTGGCGGCTACACCAGTGACCTTTAATGCTAGTTTAGCTTGAATACATTTTGACATTTCAAGCAAATTAATGTATTTTTACAAGGTGGGGCACCGACCACAAATTAGGCCAAATGGTTTCCCTGCAGGCTGGGTTACTGTGCAAAGATTCTCCCACCACCCCCAGAAGAAATGTTTATTTTTCTCCACCTGGACAAATGCCAACAGCCCTCAGGGGTTAACCTTAGTCCCACCTCAGTAGTCTATAATTCTGGGGTCTCTCTGCAGCTAACAGATGCTAATTCTGACAGTCGGAATGAGGCAAAGACTCCAATCCGCATGTTACATTGTGTGTTATGGAAATGCCTTGGTGTAAAGCACCAGTTCCTTGAAAAATTACGTGGAAAAGAGAGTATCTACCATGAGAAGCAGATAGAAGGAACTAACAACCTACGAGAGGTGAAGAGGTCCAGTTTCTGAAAAGACAGACCCTAGACTACTAAGTAGCCACACATCTTTCATCTGAGGCGTTTTCAGAGACAAATCAAATGGGAATTAAAGGGATTCTGTGTAGCTCATACAGAAAGTGTCTCAGAAGCACAGAGGCCACTTTAGTCACAGGAAACTGCCAGAGGGTGACTTATTTGATGGAACAGAAAACAAACAGGCACAATAGCTGGTGTATTTTTGAGGCAATTTTAAACCTAATAAACATGACACCAGTAGCGTTGACTTAAATCAGCTCGGGCGAGTTGGAGAATTTAACAGCTCGTCTTCCAACTACCAGCCTTTATCTCAGAGGCCGCCTTGACAGCAGAGAGCAGAGTCCAAAACATGGCCTTCTCTGACTTCTGCCAGGTGTGTGCCGTCCCCGGCCTCTGGCCCGGCCTCAGCTCTCAGAGTGGGGATAATTAGAACGTCATTTCTGCCAGCTTTGTTTTTTCTGGGTCACTGACTTCAGACTTGATCAAAATACGAGTGTTGGACTGAAATCAATTGGTTTCCTCTTCCTCAGCCAGCCCCAGCTTATTTCCTGGGGGACCGTGCTCCAGAGGCCCAGCGCACACAGACAGCTTCTGTAGCAGCCCGATGGTGTGTATAGAGGTCCAGAGTGAGGGCTGCGGAGGGGTCCACAGCGCAGGCGCTCCATCTCCCTGCTCTCCCTCTCCGTGGCAGGGCGCTGACATGCAAGGGCCTCAGACAGACGTGCTGAGGAACACATCACAGCAAACTGCTCTGGGAGCTGTTAAGGCTGGTGTTTAATGTTTATCCAATGGCCTCAGTTTGAAAGGCTCTGTAGAACATGCATAACAGAAGCTCAGCTTTATACTCCATTAGCATTCAAATTCCTAGCTGTCCAGAGGCATATGGTACTGACCAGAGAAGGCCAGCCCATGTCGAGGCTGAGGGCATGTAGAGACAGGAGGACAGGTTGAGGCTGCTGGATGTCTGGGAGAGACACTCAGAGACAGGGGACAAAGAGAGCCAAGTGGTACAAGAGGGGAGGTCAAAGACAACCTTTGTCTTCTTTATAACATCACCAGTTGTCCTCCATTAAGAGACAGAATTAGAGGGAAGGGCTTTATCTCAGACCGGCCTTTGTCCACTTCATTACTGAGTGGAAGGCCTCTTCCAACCTGGAAATAGTGGGCCTCAGAATGCGATGATAGCATATATCTTGTTTTCAGACTTTCGGATTCAATGAGAAAAACAAAGCTTTCCTCGGGCTTTCACTCAAGGCAAAAAGAATTGCAGCTACATTACTGTTACTATCTTGGCCAGGAATGGGGCAGACTCTTCTGCCTTTGCCTAGCCATAAGAGAAGAGAAAGAAAGTACAGAATAAGTGAGTGGTGGAGTCGAGAGTGCACGTAACGTAGTTCTCTGAGAAGTGCCCGGTGATAAATAGCAGCTGTCGAGGAGATGGTAGACATTGGGCTGACTCCTGTGTCGAGAAAGGAGCTAGAGTAGATCCGTGTTTGCTTGGCCTGTGTGTCCCAGTGCCCAGCACAGCACTTGGCACCAACACGCCAGACACACACACACACACACACACACACCAGTCCTTTTGCTTCTAACTCCTTAATGTGTCTCAAATCCATCTACTTCTCTCCATCCCCACTGTCGCCAACCTAATTCAGGCCACCATCATCCCTCACCTGGACCACTGCAGGAGCCTCTTAGCTAGCGGCCTGTTTCCCATCTCACCTCCTCCTCCAATATGATCTCAACAGCAGAAAGGGTGATCCCTCTAGAACCCAAATATGATTATGTCACATCCCTACTTAAAGCCATCAGAATAAAACTGGACATGTACATCTCTCCATTACCTGGTGTATTAGTCTGCTGGGGCTACCACAACGAAACACCACAGACCAGGTGGCTTTAACAAGAGAAAGTGATACTCTCATAGTTCTGGAGGTGGGAAGTTCAAGATCAAGGTGTCGGCAGGTTTGGCTTCTCCTGAGATCTCTCTCCTTGGCTTGCAGACGCCCATCCTCTTACTGTGTCCTCACATGGGCTTTTCTCTGTGCATACACATTCCTGATATTTCCTCCTTCTTATAAGGACCTGAGAGCCCCACCCTTATGACCTCATTTAACCTTTATTACCTCTGTCAAGGCCTCATCTCCAAATACAGTCACATTAGAGGTTAGACTTCAGCATATGAATTTAGGGGGGCACAATTCAGTCCTGATACCTAGCCACTGTCTACCTCCTGATTCTCACCGATCACCTCTCCATCACTCAGCCTGTATTAGCCTTACTGGATTGTTTGTAGTATCTGGATGGGCCATACTGTCTCTAATCTCTGAACCTTTACCCATGCTGCTCCCTCTCCCTGGATTGCCCTCAACTCTGCTGCCTGCCATTTCCACCCCATTCCTCTCCTACTGGTCATTGCAGACCCTATTTAGGTACCACCTTCTCTGGAAATACCCTGCCTCCTGACTCCTAGTCTGGGTAAAGAGCTCTCACGTCCTCTCTGCTGCCTCCTTCTCATGACATGGAGAGTAATTGCCTGATGGCTCTCCAAGGGTTCTTGTAGACCATGAGGCATTTGAAGACAGAAGCCGTGTCATTTTGGAGATCTTTTGAATGCCCAAAGCCTAGCACAAGGCTTAGCACAGAGAAGGTGCTCAGCAAACATCCAATGAAAGAACAAACCAACCTGTTTCTTTGCTGAGGAAAGAAGGATGTGGAGTGAACCAGGTCAAGCCACATGAGCAGTGCATTACAACTTAGGATTCCAAATCCCCAGCCGATGAACTGTACCTGAGTACTCCACAAGACAGCTGCTAGGTCTGTGCCAAGGAAAGGCCCTGTCCCCAAAGGTTGCTGATAGAGTAAAATCGGGTTTCTCTAGCACTCTGTTGTCCAGATGCCTCTATGACTTTGCTGTTCCATGCATCTACAGAGCAGTGAGAGAGATTTGCATCTCATAGTGCCACAGAAGCCCTAGAGCAGTGGCCCTCAAACTTTATTGTGCTTCAGAATCACGTGGAGGACTTGTTAAAACGTGGCTGGCTGGGCTCCAACTCCAGAGTTTCTGATTCAATAAGTCTAGGTTGGGGCCTGAGGATTTGCATTTCTAACTGGTTCTCAGGTGATGCTCTTGCTGCTGGTCCAGAGACCACACTCTGAGAAGGATCCTTCCGGAATTATAGCAGAAAATAATTCACATTATGTTGGAAATGGCATAAATGGTAAATGTGTTTACCAGAGCACTTAATCAGCTGTCCTTCCGAACTTTGCGGGATAACACCAACATTGCTGAAATTCATGAGACGGGGAACCAATAAGCCAATTTTTCTTTCAAGGTAAAACGGCCCCGGAAAGATATTGTAACCTAATGGTGTGTGTTCTGTTCTTTTTGCAGGTGCGATTAGAGTGGCCAACAGACCTTGCAGTCAATCCCTTGGACAATTCATTGTACGTCTTGGATAACAACATTGTGCTTCAAATTTCTGAGAACAGGCGAGTGCGGATCATTGCAGGGCGCCCCATTCACTGCCAGGTGCCAGGCATCGATCATTTCTTGGTCAGCAAGGTAGCAATTCACTCCACTCTGGAGTCAGCAAGGGCCATCAGCGTCTCCCACAGCGGGCTGCTCTTCATAGCTGAAACAGACGAGAGGAAAGTAAACCGCATTCAGCAAGTTACCACCAATGGGGAGATCTCCATCATGGCTGGTGCCCCCACTGACTGTGACTGCAAAATTGATCCCAACTGTGACTGTTTTTCAGGTATGACCTTTCTAGTAATTCAGTAGCTCCCCCTCTCTGTTTTCAAAAGAAAAACGTGCATCAGAAAAGTCAAAAAAAGAACAGAAGTATTACTTGTAAACATTGGTGTGAGGCACTGGAGAAAGCAATGGATTGGGGGTCAGATAGCTTAGTATCTTGTCCTTGTTCTGCAGCTGACTCACTGAGTGACCCTAGGAAAGCCATAAAACCCCTTCATGACTCACTTCATCTGCTAAGTAGAGGGACCACGTGTCTCAGTTATATCACCTTGCTGTTTTGAAGATAAACTAGTATAATAAAAGTTTTGGTACTCTAAGAAGTTAAGACCACTCTACAAATGTAAGATCATGATATTATTTGTACTTTGGAGAAAGGGAAGCTAGGTAAAACCTACATTTACTGATTTAGCTAAGGAAAAAATTACTTCCAATAAGTGACTGGTTTCCAGATTAACAATGTGTGCTATTTGAAACCCAAAGGGACTAGAAGCGGACTGCTTTCAGGATACAAGGGCAAAATTAAATCTCACAATGGAGGGTTCTCAGGACATCAGTCTGCTACTTACATTGTTTTTTTTTTTAATCCAAAATTTTCTCCATAACCAATAGTGCCCTTTACTTCAATTGAAATGGGGGGGGGGGGAAGAGCCTTTTCTCCAAAACACAGAGTGGATATTCCAGACAGTAAACAGTCCTGTAAATGTCAATAGATGCATTTACTGCTGGTACGTGGACATCCCTCCATGCTGCATGCCGCCCTATTAAACTGCTCATCCACGCCCAAATGGTTCTTTTAACCTTTGCTTTTCCTTGGGACAGAGGAATCAAGAGTGAGCAACTTGGTCAATATGACTTTTGATTGATATTTCCAATGTTTTCCTAGACAACTAGTTTTATAGTTATTTTGCTAATTGATATCTTTCTTTCAAGGCAAAACTGGAATGTTTATTCCAGTTATCAAATTTGATGTTCTGAATGATTGTCGCACTTGCAGACTTAGTGTACTTTGACAATATGACAATGAAAGTTAACAGAAGAAAGGTGTCTGGGCACAGTAGGACTGGAAAGCCCTGAGATAGATGCTATGAGCGTGGACAGGCGGCAGTCTCTGGCTAGATTTGTCATCATTTGCTGTTTTTGTATCTTTAGATACAGAAGAGCAGGATTGACGATTTCACAAAATGGGTGTTAACTGAGAGAATTGCATCTCACTGTTCATCTTTAGTGGCACTGACTCAAGAATTGGGAATAATGGGTTTCAAACATCCAGCTTGGGCATGTGGAGAATGTTGGTTCACTGACTGTTCCCTTTAAAATGATTCTTGATGCACAGCGATTTCTGTATATGGTATGTTTGTATAAGTGCTTGTGACCACAACTATTAACATCAGGGTCTTTCTCCCACAGGTGATGGTGGCTATGCCAAAGATGCAAAGATGAAAGCCCCTTCCTCCTTAGCAGTGTCGCCTGATGGTACCCTCTACGTGGCAGACCTTGGGAATGTTCGAATTCGTACCATTAGCAAGAACCAAGCCCACTTGAATGACATGAACCTTTATGAGATTGCATCACCTGCTGATCAGGAACTGTACCAGTTCACTGTCAATGGAACCCACCTGCACACCTTGAACTTGATAACGAGGGACTATGTGTATAATTTCACCTACAATGCCGAAGGCGACTTGGGTGCAATTACCAGCAACAACGGCAATTCTGTGCACATTCGCCGAGACGCAAGCGGGATGCCCCTTTGGCTTGTGGTGCCTGGCGGGCAGGTGTACTGGCTGACCATAAGCAGCAACGGAGTCCTGAAAAGAGTGTCAGCCCAAGGCTACAATCTGGCCTTGATGACCTATCCAGGAAACACGGGGCTTCTGGCTACCAAAAGTAACGAAAATGGATGGACAACCGTTTATGAGTAAGTTTCTAAATCTCAACATGGGCTTTGTTAGGTTTGTATTTGCAGTTGTATTACAGTGGGAAAATGACTTAGTAATTGCTGAGTGTTGCATGCTATTTTCTCCTAACAGCCACAATAAAAAAAAAAAGTCAAGGAGAAAATTTTACCCAACTCCTAGGCTTCGAACCCATTTCTCCAGAGCAAGCACTTTTGCAGAGCATAATAATAAACACATAGGCTGAATGAAGAATCAAGCATGGTGCTGCACGAGACAAGAATGAGGCGGAAGTCCATGTGCTCGAGAAATTTACAGCATAGCTGGGAAAACAAGGGAAAATTTCATTTAAATGACAAAACTAGAAAATAGTTCTAAAGTAGCAAAGAAGCAGTGAGCAGTGTAGCTTAACTAGTATTTATTGATCGCTGTGGGGTTTAATGAATGAATGAATGTGTGCGCAGCCCGGCCCAGCCCAACTCAGTTTAAGTTGTGAAATGACGTGGGGCAAATGCTGAAACAGGAGAAGCTGCACTCCACTGGCTGCTTCTGGGAAATGTGGAGTCGAAAGCTTCAGTACAGGCCTGCGCCCTCCCCCCAGTTTCCCTGCACAAGGCAAAGACTCCAATACATTTGGGTATTCACAGACCGGGTCTGTGATAACTTTGTTTAACTGGGAATTAACAGAAGGTGTGTCTGACGGCAGGCTACTAGGAGGTGTCCTGTCATGGACATAGAGACCATCGTCCTTGCCTTTTAAGGCTGGACAACGTTATTTGCAAGTCAACCCATTTAGAAAGCTAGTTTGCCAGCGCTCGGCAAGCCTCTTCCCCACGAAGGGAGTTGCTGAATTTTTAACCAGTTTACAGAGTGAAGATAATGCATGGAACTGAACCCAGAGCCTGAAATGGCATTCAAGTTGGGGAACGTGAGAAGCGGAGATACTAAATACGAGGAGTTCCAGGTGTGACTCTTCCGTGAGAATGTAGGGAATATGAAAAGACTGGATCCCACGAAACCCTCCTGAGGAAAGGGACAAAACAGTTGGCCTTCAAGTTTTGGATCATTTCCCAAAGAAATGCCACTTATACAAAAGAGCTGGACAGCTATTTTAGTTTCACTGAGAAAAATGTATTCAGTTTCTGTCGCAGGTCTTCCTCTATTTCTGGAAAAATTTCTCTTACATCTTAATAAAAGTAATAAAAGCTACTGTTCACTGAGGGTTTACTATGTGCTAGGTCCTAGGGTAGGTGATTTACATAAAGTATTTTGTTTGATCTCCAAAATAACAACATGGGATACGTGCTCCTGGTTTGCCTGTTTTATGGATGAGGAAACTGAGGCCCAGCATGGTGAGCTTGTCCTGATTCACACAGATGTCCAGGATTCAAACTGCAACAGTCTGACTCAAGAGCCCACATTTTGAAATATACTACCCTTAAGAAAGATAAAAGTTCTAATGAGAATATCTTTTTTCAAAAATTCATGCAAGATCACACTGCAGCTGAAATTAGACAAATAACTTTTTTTTTTTTTTTCCGTACGCGGGCCTCTCACTGCTGTGGCCTCTCCCATTGCGGAGCACAGGCTCCGGACGCGCAGGCTCAGCGGCCATGGCTCACGGGTCCAGCCGCTCCGCGGCATGTGGGATCTTCCCGGACCGGGGCACGAACCCGTGTCCCCTGCATCGGCAGGCGGACTCTCAACCACTGCGCCACCAGGGAAGCCCGACAAACAACTATTTTGAAAACTAATGGTTAAATTCAGTTAAGCAACAAGAAATGGCAGAATTATTAACTAGTTTTCAAAATAACCAGTTCAACCGTTCACTTATTTACCAATCATCACATTGTACACTTGAAATACATGCAATTTTATTTGTCAATTATACCTCAATAAAACTAGAGAAAAAGCCCCCACAAAATAACCGTTTAACCATTCATTTATTTATTCAACAAATATTTGCTAAGCAGCTAGTATACACCTGGCAGTGTTCTGGTGCTGGGGATATAGCCGTGAACAAGACAGATACAAATCCCTACCTTCACAGCGCTTACATTGTACTGGAGGGAGACAAGTAAAATGCACAGAACTTCAGATGGTGATAAGCTCTGTGGAGGAAATAAAGCAGGGTCAGGGGGAATCAAGATTTGGAGGCAGAAGGGGTTTTTATTTCAGGCTGGGTGGTCAGGGAAGACCTCACTCAGAAGGTGACATTTGAGTAAAGGCCTGTAGGAGGTGAGGGAGTGAGTCGTGTGGGTATCTGCCGGGGAGGAAGGGCGAAAACATTGCAAGCAGAGTGAACAGCAAGTGCAAAGGCCCTGCAGCAGGAACAAATCTGACATGTTCAAGGAATAGTAAGGCAGCCACTGTGACTGGAGTGGAGTGCACAATCACAGTAGGGAGACAAAATCAACGAAGTGGCCAGGGCCACTTCACATAGGGCTTTGCAGGCCTCTGTAAAGACCTTTTGACTCTGAGTAAAAGGTGAGACCACTGGAGAGCTTCAAGTAAAGGAGTGACAGAATCTGCCTTCCATTTTTAAAGAATCACTCTGTATTGAAAACAGACTGTATGGTGGAAGTAGAGGAACCTAATGGAGGGAGCGGGCTATTGCAATAATCCAGGCAAAATGGTGACTTAGACCAGGGAGTGAGGGCAGTAAGTGATAATATTCTAAATATATTTTGACAATAGAGCTGTCAGGACTGACAGATGGGATGTGGAGTATGAGAAAAAAAAAGGGTCAGAAATAACTCCAAAGTTTTTGGCCTGAGCAAGTGGGTGTTGGACTTTCCATTTACCAGGATGGGGAAGACCAGGCAAGGAGTACATGATACTGGGTGGGAGTTCAGGGTTGGATATGATCAGTTTAGACATCCAAGGAAAATATCAAGTTGGCAGTTGGATTTATGAGTCTGGAATTGAGGGGAGCGGCTGGAGATGTGAAATTTGGAGATCCAAATTTAGCGTCCACCAGTGTCTTGACTGTGTTTAAAGCCACGAGATCTTCATGGAAAAGTGAGTGTAGTCAAGGAAGAAAAGAGATCTGATGATGGAACCTAGAGCACCCCAACATTGAGTTGAAGATATGAAGAGGAACCAGCAAAAGAGACGGAGAAAGAAAGTCCAGTGAAGTAGGAAGAAAACCAGGAGAGTGGGACGTCCTGGAAGCGAAGTAAAACAAGTGATGCAAGGAGGAAGGAGCGATCAGCCGTGTCAAATACTCCTGATAAGTCAAGTAAGATAAGCACGGAGAATGACAGTTCCATCCAACACTGCGGAGATCATTGTGTACCTTCACAAGAACAGGTGCTGTGGGCACTGGGGGACAGAAGCTTTAGCAGAGGAGGTTTAAGAGATAATGGATACACACATGTTCATAGCAGTGTTATTCATAATAGCCAAGAGGTGTAGAGGACCGTGTCCATCCAGTCATGAATAACCAAACGAAATGTGGTATAGCCATACAATGCGATATTATCCATCCATGAAAAGGAGTGAAGTTCTGGTACGTGCTACAGCATGGGTGAACCTCAGAGACGTTATGCTACCTGAAAGAAGCCAGACACAAAAGGACAGATATTATATAGTTCCGTTTATATGAGATATCCGGAAAAGGCAAATTCATAGAGACAAAGTATAACAGGTTAGCAGTTGCCAACAGCTAGGGAGAGGAGTGAACGGGGAGTGACTGCCAGTGAGTACGGGGTTTATTTTGGGGGTGATGGAAATGTTCTAGAAATGGTGCTGACGGTTGCACACGTTGTGAATGTACTGAAAGCCACTGAATTGTGTACTGTGTACTTTTAAATGGTGACTTTTATGCTATGTTAATTATATTTCAATAATAATCATCATAATAATAAAGAGAGCAACTGGGAGGAGAGTTTGGGGACAATGAGTAAAGAACCCTTCTGAAGTGCACTGCTGTAACGAGCAGAGAAATTGGAGCGGGGGGGGGGAACAGAGTAATCAGAAGGAGGTTTTTAAAATGAAAGAAATAATGGTACATTTGTGTGCTGATGAAAATAATCCAATACAGAGGGGAAAACTGATGATGTCAGATAGAGAGCAGAATGTTGTAGTCGGATAGTTTGTGGTCCCGGCGGATACTTACAGCAAGCAGAGCCCAGGCCTGTTACCAGGACTCAGCTGGCAGTGAGAAAAAAGTAGCATCTAACATCATTGTTTTTGGGTAACCAATCTTGAGGCATTAAGAGATGAGAAACACAGGCATTCACGCGGGGGTAATCATGGAATTTTATGGCCACAAGGAGACATCAGAGGTCACTTTACAAATAAGGAAATGGAGGCCTAGAGTAGGGGACTAATTTGCCCATTCATGTTGCTGGTTGGCTGGGTCTAGAGTCAGATCTTTGAGCTTCTAGCCCACTGCTCTTTCCACTACTACCCCACTGCCTTCCAGAAAAAGGAAGAGGATTTGGGATTACAGGAGTGACCATGGGAAGTCTGGGGAGCTAGAAGATTTCTGCTGCAGTAGCAGGACAAGAGGAGTATGAGAGCGCCATGAAAGAGAAAGGGAGGCTGAATATCCGTTTCGTCCTTCTCCCACCTTCTCGACTCCAGCCAGTATTATGCGGAAACCCTCTGTGGAGAGAAGGTTCCTCTTCCTCCTGAAGCAGTGCATTCTGTCCCCAACGGAATACTGTCCCTGTCGGTTCCTGCATGTACATACGGGAATGAGCAACTTCCCAACCTTCAAAATGAAACTAATTCTTCCCAGTCTACTCTGTACAAACTCTGGCTTCTTTCACTTTTATCCTCCAACGCTTTAGCCGGTTCTGAGCACTCCTTCGAGGTTTTCCTTCTCCTTCTGAAGCCAGGGAGCACCGAATCGGACCTACTCTTCCAGTCAGGGTTACAGCCATGCTGAGGTCAGTAGAAGGCGGCCTTGGACCACTGTTACCAGGCCCTCCTAAAAGAACTTGAGCGTTGCTCAGAGGTGAGAGAGAGGCTGCCTTCTTTGGCCAAAAGGTGACAAATCCTTTGCTAAGGTGGA